TATTATTATTATTATTATTATTATTATTATTATTAAGAAAACAGACACAGGAGAATTTAAGAGGTCTTACTAAGTTCTCATGCCAAGGTGTTGAGTGAAGTTCAGAGTCTTCCTTGAACTTCTGTGCCATGAAAGGAACATTTTGATTTGCAGTATTTTATAACAAAAACCCAAGTGTCACAAACAGCCCCAAAGCATGATTAGTAGATTGCACTCAAGCTGGATAATTCATATGGTATCAAAATAGTTGGACTTTTTTTTAAGATTGAAGATTCTCATTCACCACAATGTTGCTTCTCAATATTATACTTTGTGAATTTTGCTGCATATGGTGATGATAATTTTGGCTTTCATAGTGTTGTAGAGGCATTAGTGGTTGAGAAAATTATAATGCTACTTAGAAATTTTAAATTAGCACTTAAAGAACTAAAATGGTTGTAACTACCATTTATTGAAATTTATTGTGTAGTAGATGTTGCTAAAGTCTTCATATTGAAGTAGCTACCTTTTTTTGTGGATAATAATATGGCAACATCAGTACTCAATTTTATCTCAGCCAAGTTTGTACTTAAAGCAATTGTACTATTTTGACTTCAGCATGGCCCTCCCTAGCTTTTAACTTTAAAAGTTGGATTTGATGTGTATGATATGCTTTTCATCTTCAGAACTTGTAAGCAGTTAGTGCTGGGACTGCTGGTAAAGTGTATGCTGAATCTGAGTCAGATCCTTGGTACTCTAGTAAAGAGCCAAACATGATGGCAGACACCTGTAATCCACTGCTGAGGAAGCTGAGACAGGATTCTAGGAGATAGCTGACAGTTATCTTGCTGTTTCCGTGAGCTCTAGGCTCAGTGAGATAGTCTGCCTCAAAAGGTGGGAGGGCAGTATAAAAAATGCCTCAATGGTGGAGGCAGGCTTGGATTACACACAGAGTTAGTTCGAGGATAACCAGGACTACACAAAGAAATCCTGTCTCAAAACCAAAACAAAGAAAAGGAAAGCATCCAGTATTGACTTCTGTTCTCCACTCACCTATTTACAAAGCACTAATACTCAAACTCATGGGAATACCATATATACAAAAGTCTATGTAGTTATTCATCATTTTATGATTTTAGTATACCTTGGAGAGACTAGTGCAAACTTCATTAACTCATCTAAACCTTTCTTTAGATTTCTGCATACTGGTTTTCTCTTTTCCTCATCATCAGCCTTCCTCCATTTTTGGAGGCATAATTTCACTCTGCAGTTTAGACTGGCCTTGAATTTGCAGTCATTCAATCTGCTTCCTGAGTCTAGGACTATAGATGTCTACCACCAGTCTTACCTCTACTAGAAGACTATTAAGGCAAAATTCTTTTTACTGTTTTATATATCTTGAAGCTAATAATTGTTGAATAAACTTTTGGAATTATCAACTTTCAGAAGTCCCTTTTGAACTAGAACAATATCCCTGCCATCAAGAGCACTTACTACTCTTCAGAGGACCCATTTTAAGTGTCTAGCACTCCTATGACAGCTTACACAGCTTACAGCTATGTGGAACTCAGGTTCCAGAGACTCAATTGGCCTCCTGCACATGTGTGGTCCACATGCATACACTCAAGCGCACACATATACACATCTTTTTCTCAGCCATGTGCCTATCTTTGGTTAATAATTATTTTAATAGAAGTGTTGTTTCTTACTATTTTAAATATGTATTATGTACACAGTGTTCTGCCTGCCTGTATCCCTACGGCCAGAAGAGGGCACCAGATATCATTCATTATAGATGATTGTGAGCCGCTATGTGAGTGCTGGGAATTAAACTCAGGAACTCTGGAAGAGCAGCTCTTAACTGTAGTTGGTTTTTTGTTTGTTAACTTTTTACTCTTATGCTCTTTTGGGGTCCCACCACCCAGCTCCTAATAAACACACATGGAGGCTTGTTCTGTTTTATGAACATCGATAACTTGGCTTATTTCTAGCCAGTTTTTCTTAAACTATTCCATCTATCTTTTGCCTCTGGGCCTTTTCCATTCTCTATTTCTGTATACCTTTCTTTCCTTCTTACTCCATGGCTTCCTGTGGCTTACTTCTCCTTCTCTCACTCCTTGATCTTTTCTTCCCTGAGTTTTCCTCCTATTTATATTCTCTCTGCTCACCAACTCCCTTTTGTTTTTTTCCCCCCATCCTGTCTTGCTGTTGGCAATTTGGCTCTTTATTAGACCAATCAGGTGTTTTAGGCACATTAACACAGCTTCAAAGAATTAAAACAAATGCAACATAAAGGAATGCATAGACATATGTAACACTTCTTAAAATAGTATTCGGCAACATCTTAGCCACTGAGCCAGCTCTCCAGCCCCAGAAGAGCTGTTTCTTTTCTGTCCTCCATAACTCTTTTTCAGAGATGGAGAGAGAGAGAGAGAGAGATCTGCCTGCCTCTTCCTCCACCTCCCAAAGTGCTGGAACCACTACCTGGCTTAGATCATCTGTTTTTAAATAGAATCTAAAAATTCACTTTTTTTGAATGAAATTTGTGCTCTTCTGTATGTTCATTGCTTGGAGCCATTGCACAGGGCAATAGCTTCTTATGTTCACAAGATCACATATGGTCACTGTGCTTATGACACTGAGTTTTGTCTCCATGGTGGTTTTAAAAAGTGTGCTTTATAGTGTGTGTGCATGAATACATACATACATGCATGTGACTTATTAACAGCACACATGTGGAGTTCAGAGCACAACTTTGTGCATTCAGTTTTTTCATTCTACTTTTATGGGTTTTGAAGATCTAAATCAAGTTAGGCTATTATAATAAGCACATACTTTCCTGCCACTGATGGGCTGGAGTGGCCCTGGGGCTTCATGCTCATCCCAGTGTGTTCTAGATTATGCAGGTATTTTATGGCCACAGAAACCTCCAAGACTGTGTCATTGATGATTAGGTTAGTTACCCTTTTGAGTGTACTCATCCCACCCCATCTCTAGACAGTCTCTGGTACTTTTCATAGGTTATTGTAATTCTCTTTTCTGCCAGGCTTCTTGAAGGCAGAGACTATGTATCTTGAGTAATTCCACCTAAGGCTTACAAAAATGTACAGTGAGTTGTCAGGTATTTGCATTTTTTTCTGTATATACTGCGGAGACAAAATTATTTAGAAGAAAGTTATAGAAAATAGGAAGGGCATAAATTATTATTTTTTTTTAAGAATCACAAAACCCCATTGATAAGCTGATACAATTTACTAATTATTATTGCCTTCTAGAGGTATAGTTTCTGAGGGGTCGGGGAGAGATTGTCTCTGTGTGAGATTCATAATATATGTGTATATACATGCAGGGTCTAGAAGCTGATAGCATCTCTCTCTATCACAGACTTTAATTTTTGAGAAAATTTCTTTCTGAACCTGGTACTTACTTGACAATCTGACTAAACTGGCTGTCCTCCTGTCTCTACCTCAGGATTTCTGGTGTGCATGTCCCCCACCCCAACCTGGCCCTCATGCTCAGGACATGATGTGTACATAGCAACCACTGTACCAACTGAGCCATCCCAGCCTCTTAGGCAGTTTCAACTACAGCCTCCTTAATTCCTTCCTGCTTTCCTTTTTAAATGCCAGGTTTTCCTGGTCTGTTCTTCCCTTCCTCTCTTCTTTCTTTCCCTCCATTTCTCAACTTCTTCCTCTCAGGTTTGTAACAGTTTTGTAGTTTCCATTTTTCTTGATGCTCTGGACCCAGGTAATTGGTTGTCCAAGAGATTGTACCATGCATTAAAAGATGTTAGTAGCATCCTTGGCCTCTTGGTATACTCCAGTAGCATTCCCAAATTCTTTACAATCTGGGACATTGACAAAAATGTTTCCTGGAATTAGTCAAGTGTTTCTATGGGGCAGTCATTCCTAGTTGAGGAAAAGCTCCTCCCCCCAACCCCATGACTCCCACTGTGTGTGTGCGTGTGTGTGTGTGTGTGTGTGTGTGTGTGTGTGTGTGTGCGCGCGCGCATGCAAGCATGTGCACACACACACGCACAGGTGAGTTCACCTGTGCACATACATAGAGACTGGAGGTGTGTGTTCTGCTTCTCCTGGTACTGGAATTAGAGTTAACATGTTCTTGTGCCTAGCTTTCTGCATGTGGGTACTAGTAACCTGACCTTACCTCATGCTCATGCCTTAAGGGCTTTAACCATTGAGCCTTTCCTCAGCATAAATCAGGCAGATGATGGGACAGTTTTTCCTCAGTAACTGCTAGCTTCTGCTGAGGTTTTCTTCTCTCCTGCTTTTCTTCCTAGCTCTTCTACAGTGAATAATAACATCTACTTCCTCATTTCCTTCTTTGTTGGCTTTACCCAATGGAATGATGAAAAAATATTTTCATCAAGTGTGCTGTCATTTTCTTGTTTCCCATGTTTCTAGAATTGAAAGGCGGTTACTGCCTCATCTTCCATCTCATGGTGTTTTAATTCTTCTTTCCTTGGCCTTATTCACTTACTTTGGCCTTATTCACTTAGTGCAGCCATTCAAAAACTCCTGTGTGCCCTATTCCTGTTTATTTCTAGATGCCACCTCTGTTCTTACAGCTGTGATGCATGGAGGCCACCAGCATTTTTAATATTGGAATCAAATCAAGTCCTGTTCTATCTTATTTGTACATCGTAGCCTTTCTAGAACAAGCTTTCTTCCCATTTCATAACTTGTCAGTTACAATTTCTAGGGTTTTAGGCATTTTGAAAACTTGCCAAGTGATTTAAAAAGAGCTCTCACCTGCTTCATTCTCCTGTTTGGAATCCTTTTATTGCTTAGAAATACCTACAGTGCTTAACTTGCTAAGTGAAAGGCAACTTAGGTTCTTTTAGGCAAGTATTTATGAAAAGTTAGTGTTAGCTTATTTTAGTACAGTATTTAATTACTAATTAAATTTATTGATAGGGGAGGGATGAAGGAGAGAAGTCTTGCCTGGCCAATTTGACTGATAAATTATGAGATATTTAAATAAAATTTCTTTGGTTGCAGGTATTTATAACAACAATGATGTAGCTGTAACATTTCCAAATGTGGTATCTGGCTCCGGATCTAGTACTCCTGTCTCTAGCTCTCACATACCTCAGCAGTCATCTGGGCATTTGCAACAGGTGGGAGCCCTCTCCCCCTCAGCTTCATCATCTGTAACCTCTGCAGCCACTACGACTCAGGTATGTTATAGCTGAGAGCCAGCTTTAGCAAGCAGTGTGAAACATTGTCTCCAACAAAAATGAGAAAAGGTAGAAAAAAGTATGGGTTGATTTGGCACGTTTGTGGGCTTTTCGTTTGTCTTTTAAAAAATCATTTAAAGCTGTACAAACCTTTTGTCTACATTATTTTAATTAACCTAGGAGAGAATATTGAAGAATAAATGACTCCAGTCTGACAAGATGGCTGGGCGATAAAGAGTGTGTCCTCTTCTTGTAGGGAGAGTTCAGTTTCCAGCACCCAAACCTGGTCAGCTCCAGGGATTCTTAATTCCTTTGGTCTCCATTGGTACCTACACTTATTTGCACACATCCACCCACATACACGTAATTAAAAACATAATAATGAAAATAAACCTTTAAAAATTCCCAAATGTAAAATGACCCACCTAATATGTTCCTTTCATAAACATAAAAATGAATGATCCCTTCATATACTGCAAGCTTTTCTTTTTTTCCTGGTAGGTGATAAATGTTCATAAATATGCTTTCTTTGTCTCTCCTTTCTGCCACACTCAGACCTATAGCTTGATATTGCAGCCTGTTCTATAGGATTTTTACTTTATTTCACAATCTTTAAATCCAGGCAAGTGCTTTACACAGAGCTATATCTTACCCAGCTTTCCATCCTTTTTTTTTTTTTTTTTTTTTTTTTTTTTGAGACAGGGCTTCTCTGTTTAGCCCTGAACTAGACTCTCTGTAGATCAGGCTGTCCTAATACAGAGATCCACCTGCCTTTGCCTCTGAATGCTGGGATTAAAGGCATGCAGCACCACACCTGGCTGGCTTTAGCCCTCAATTAAAAAAAAAAAAAAAAACTTATTTTGAAGTGGGGTCTCAACTAAGTTGGATAGGTTGGCTTTGAACTCATTTTTTTGGGCTAAGCAGGCCTTGAACATGTGGTCTTCCCATCTGAGACTGCTGAGTAACTGAGTAACTGACACTGGTTAGCTCCACTAGGTCTGGCAATAAGAGTGTTGTAAAAAACAAGATACAGATTTAAGAAAGACCATAGTCTTATATCTTATTAATAAGAAAAATAATTAAATGTTTTGAAAAGCCATGTGAATGGACACTTCCAAAGGTAATAGTTTGAGAGTCCTAAACTGTAGTGCCCACGCTACAATCTGTTTCACTAATCGGGAGAAGGCCTAGAGGTTTAAATAAAAGGCAAGACAGCTGGTCACTTGTGCAACAGGAATGCTGGAATGCCGAATGCTGTTTATTGAGCAGTAGGAGTGGGCTTATATACTGACTCACTGCACAGTGGAAAACAATCAAGGGTCAAGTGTGCAAGTTGCCGGGCTTAGTTCCTCCCCAGCAGATGTGTGTTAGCAAATCAGGAAGAGTACCAAGAACTACTTTAGTGCAAGATGTTCCAGCCCACAGCTTCAGGCTTGCTCAAGGTGCCTCCGAGGTCCATGCAGGGCTCTTCACTAAAAATATATAATTCATATATATATGTGTATATATATATATATATATGAATTATTTGTGTTTGATGTATGTGGGTTCAAACCAGTGTGCATGTTTAGTTGATTCTGGAGGTCATACTTAGGTGGTTAGGCTTGTGCCTTCACGCACTGAGCAGTCTTGTGCACACCTCTGCTGCCTCTCCCATATTTTTAAGCAACAGCCCTTTCTCAAACTGATTCTTCTGTGTCCATCTGAAGAGATTCAAGGCTTTCTAAGTTTGTGCCACCACACCCAGTTTACTTAATTCTGTAATCTTATTTTTTTTTCAAAGCACTAGTAAAATTCAAAAAAACTTGTTATAATGTAATTTTTAAACTACTAGTTTTCCTAGTAGGTATTTAATTACTGTATGGATATAGCCTTCGTCTAGCCTATATGAGGCCCTAGGTTTGATTCTCCACACAACTTTAACAAAGGACAAAATGAACAATATGTGTGTGTGTATGTATATACACACATACAAATTTGAGCTTTTATATATTGCTAAGTTTCTGTTATATAGGGTTTATACATGCATTTTTTGGTATTTTCAGTAACCGTATCTTTATTTTTATATTTGTTTATTAACCTTCTGTCCATCCATCTATCTAAGAAAGGGTTTCTCTGTGTTGCCCTAGCTGTCTTGACACTCACTCAGTAGAGCAGGCCAGCCTTGAACACACAGAGGTCTGCCTGCCTCTGCATCCTGAGCGCTGGGATTAAAGGTGCGCACCACTACCTCCTGGTTGTATTATTAGAATACAGCAGTGGATTATTGTAATGCATGTGTTTATGAATGGTGTTGTATAGTCATCATTCTAATTAAACCAACTATTAAAATGAACAACAGATCAGTTAGTGGTATGATTAGTTGTGCCATCAAGGATAGCTTGAATACTTTAGAGTGATTTTCTTTAGCTTATTTCTCTGAAGCATTAAGGTGATAGAAATATATAATAGGGCTTATTTTTTTTTTTTTAGAGAGGTTAAAAAGGTAAATGAAAGATTGCACTAATAAATTGTTTTATCTCTTTTTATTAAATATAACTGTGCTGTCTGGTAGCTTAATACCAAGTTTCACTTGAACATTTCCAGTTTGCATTTTCTTTTCTGTTTTTAAGGTCTGTTTTAATTATTCTGTTGATTCCAGGCTGAATTAAGCAAAATCTCATTTCTTCTCACTCATGTCAGTGGGCTTGGGGCTGGCATTAGGAAGAGGTGCATGGGGAAGTGGTAGTGAAGGGAAATTTATAGTGCACGAGAAAAATTTCACATGACATGTGATTCAAGCAAAGAACAAAGAAATAAGTTGTAAGTAATCAAGGATTCAGGGAAATTATAATCTTTACTTTTTGTCTCCTTTCCATGTTGCTGTAAGATGGATCACTCATATGTATGCATGTTTATGTGTGTGTATGTGTGTATTTATGATCCATTTAGATTCATATACTGCATGCTGAGACAGCTGCATGTGTGATTCTGTGTAGCAGTAAATGCATTCTGCCTTGAAGCTGAAGCTTATTTAGATTGGCTTATTGGTGCTGCTGTAGCAACAATCAGTCTCCAGGCAACTGAGGCACATTGACCTCTCAGTTGAACTGAGTGCAGATCTACTTCAATTTAGCTGCCTGAGACAAAAGTAATGGTGTTAAGTGTGAAAATGTGAAATGTTCTCAGCATTCTATAAGAGAAAAGATACAAAAATATTTTGATGGAATTAAGAGAACTCCTAAAATTGCTTATTGAATCCCTTCTTCTCTCCCCATAGCAATGTTCATTTTAGCTTAACCTTTACGTAAGTCTTAGTTGACTTTCATACATATAATCCATTATATTTAGGTAGTTACTTAAAAGATGGGTAGGGGAAATAATCAGTATTTAAAATGTGATTCTAGATGTCTTGTCACAGTTACTAAGAATTGTGCAACAACATTAAGAACCTAGCATGTGCAAGTGCCAGGATTCACTCATTTAGCAACACCAAAAAGAAAAAGAGGTAACTCTCTCTCTCTCTCTCTCTCTCTCTCTCTCTCTCTCTCTCTCTCTCTCTCTCTCTCTCTCTCGATCAACCCCACATAATTCAATCAGAACTTTTAGTGCCTGAATCTTTTTCTGACCCTCATTTTAAGTAAAATCAACAGACTTATTTTTAGATGCTTTATAAATTGTCACTCAGGGAAGTGATCAAGAAGATGAAAATCAGGATAGGCTATTAGAAATTAAAGACTAGGAATAGTTTCATTTGGGCTTTTAATCACAAAAGGACAGTTGTAAAATTGTAGAGAGAAAATATTAAAAACCGCTTTATAATTTAATTTTATATTCTTCATGTTTTATCTCAGCTTATCTGATATACTTGTTTTTAGAGTAATTGTTTTTTTCCCAAGTAATTGATATAACTCAGCACGCAGTAGGTTTTCTAGAATACACCAGTAGTAGTAACTGTAGATTCTTAACATTATCAGAAGGTAAAATGTTGTGACAGTGATGTGTTCTTTCTAATTGGATCATAAATAAAGCGCATAAAGTAATTATATTAGGAGTGGCATTAACTTTTCATGTTGCCTTTCAAATTCCACTATATTTTCCCTAAAAGGTAAGTGATAACATTGATTACATAGTAATCAATTAAGAAACCTATTTAGAATTGGTTATTCTGTCCAGTCCTTCTGTCCCATTGAGAGTGTTCAGTAATGGCTTAACTGCACTTTAAGCCTCCTACTACTTTTTGGAGACTCAATTGTGGAAAAATTCAGCATTAGCCTAAACAATGGTTTTGAATATATTAAGCTCCTAACAATTAAGGAGCAGTTTGGTGCATTGAGTAATGGGGAATGATGCAATTGAACCTGACAGCTTCAACAGCCATGCCTACTCATGGGACCAGAAAGTTGTTCACACTTGGTTTCATCACTCATCACACGCTGGTATTAAAGCCTCACTGGCTGACTCAGAAATGGAGTTTGTTCTCAGAAAGTATAAAGTTTGTATCATGGCTGAGAATAAACGAAACTTGATCTAGTCCTTGTCTAATGTTCATTCTTATTTCTCTCAAAACCATTCTTGCCAAACATGTGCTCATGATGGTGTGTGTGTGTGTAAATCTGAAGACATTTTAATACTTATATTGTATTTGTAGTCTTATATGTTTTTGTTGTTGTGCTTTGGTTTTTTGAGACAGTCCTGCCATATAGTCCTGGTGAGCTTAGAACTCATACAGAGGTCTGAATCATGTTTTATTAGTTATTGAGATTACAGGTATGACCACTTATGCTAAGAATTACTGCTGTATTTTTATGGAAATCTGTAGGTGAAATACTACCTAAAGTGAAGCATTTATGCCATGTAATGGTTCTTTGGAAACTTTTTCCTTGTGGGTATATGCCACAATTAGTCCCAGTATATAATTGATAATTTGTCTTATTCAAGTTCATGGAAAAACAGAAACCATAGTAGTTTACAAACTGTGTGTTCTTAAAAGTTTTTTATTGCACATTAGTGGTGCGTGC